CGTGGGGGCCACGTGGGGGGCGGGACTAAGGGGCGGGACCACCAATCAAATTAATTCTGATGAGATGTGGTACCTTTACTGTGTGTTTTGCGTATTGTAGCTAGTTTTGTTAACGGCAAAATAGGATTGCCTCTGATTTGGCCACACAAATAATATTTTGCTCACTATTCTGCCAAAGAGATGCTTCCTCTTTCATGATGTACGATAAGTGCATTTCCATCCAGCTGTTTTAAAGCACATGTTAAATATGTACATTAAGAAATTGATTGATTGCTAACAACAGTAATTGGAAATAAGTCAGTATTGTAAACACATTAGCTGAGGCAGAACATTTGGTGAATTAATGAAAGAAAAGTTCAACAATGTGCAATGGAAACAGGCTTAGACAATGGTGTACAGTAAATGTAGCACATGACTTATTACTCAAGCTTCTGCTCTACTGCAGAGACAAAAAATATCAGATCTGTTTTGAGCAATCAGGAGACTTATTACATGAAACAAACATAAAAGCCATATTTTATATTTGGATGTAAACCTGACTTACAGCACAGCATACTGCTATAACCTTAGAAATAAGGTGCTTGCTCTCAAATGAATGGTATTGTGCTGCCTGTCTGGTACACTGTTCCTTCAGAGGTCAGCACTATCAAAACAGTATGCAATTCCTTAATGATGCAAATGTGCTTGTCAGAACTCACAGAGTTTAACTTTACACCTCGACCAGTTCTTCTCAAATAAAGTGGCTCAAATTTTATTGCTATAAATAATGAGGTTTTATGTGAGAAGGCCGTGCTGTCAAACCTGGGAGGTAAATAGTAAAATAGTTACCCACATTATTTGCAACTAGCATGCAAAAATCTGACTTTCATCCCAGAGACAACAAAGAAAGCTGGAGTAATTAATGGTGGCCTAAAACGCACATATCTGTGTGATGGAAAATACAGGGAAGGTTTCCCTTGGCTATAATACAGAACACTAACAGGGTGCTGCTTACAGTATTGACAGAACAGTTATCTAATTATGTAACTTAATAGTATGAATTTAAAGGGAGACAGACACTTTGGGAAGGATCAACTATAAGGCAACAGGGAGATGGAGTGAACAAACAAGAGAAAGTATGTATGTATGTACGTGCGTGTATGTGAGCAAGTAGTGAGTGAGTGGGTGCAAATGAACGAGTGGCAAACTCAGTGAGTAAGACAGCAAGTGACAAGTTGTGAGTGGAGAAACAGAAGAAGGCCAGGAGAAGGAGAGAGAGAATACAGAGAAGGAGAAATGTGGGTGAGTGCATGTGATGAGATCCTCATGGGAACTAGCCTATTCTTCAAATGAATGCATACAAACACAGAGCTGCATCACATTTACTGTACAGTATACTGTGGAACAAAACCCTCAGCCCAAATAGGTATAACGCAGATTGGATGTTCTGATTCAGAACGATATATACACATACACACACACTTATGTATACAAAAAGCACAGTGTGTAACATCTGCAGATATCAGTCATCATCAGAATGAAAACACCTGACTGACTCCCCAGAAATGACAAAATGTACACATGCATTAGCAATAGATCAATCCATCTTATTATTTAATAACATCATAAAGTACATTTACAGTATAACCAACCCAAATTAGACATGTTTAACTGGATTTTGGTAAACCTGAATGCCC